GGTGTTGTTGCAGGTGTTTTAGGTGTTGTTGCTGCAGTTGTAGGTGTTTTAGGTGTTGTTGCTGTAGTTGTAGGTGTTTTAGGTGTTGTTGTTGGTGTTTTAGGTGTTGTTGCTGTTGTTGTAGGTATTTTAGGTGTTGTTATTGGTGTTTTAGGTGTTGTTGCTGTAGTTGTAGGTGTTTTAGGTGTTGTTGTTGGTGTTTTAGGTGTTGTTGCTGTTGTTGTAGGTGTTGTTGCTGTTGTTGTAGGTGTTTTAGGTGTTGTTGCTGTTATTGTAGGTATTTTAGGTGTTGTTGTTGGTGTTTTAAGTGTTGTTGCTGTTGTTGTAGGTGTTTTAGGTGTTGTTGCTGTTATTGTAGGTATTTTAGGTGTTGTTGCTGTTGTTGTAGGTGTTTTAGTTGTTGTTGTTGGTGTTTTAAGTGTTGTTGCTGTTGTTACTGTAGTTGTAGGTGTTTTAGGTGTTGTTGTTGGTGTTGTGGCTGTTGTTGTAGGTGTTGTTGCTGTTGTTGTAGGTGTTGTTGTTGTTACTGTTGCTTCAGGTGTTGTTGGTGTTGTTATAAAGCAAAAGTTGTTTCAAGTATTATCTTTATAATTTACAAATTATTCTTCCAATGCTTGATTGCTTGTAAGTGTTTGGGAATGATATTGTCACTGTGTTTGATATAACTACATTTTCAGAAAATTATTCAGTTACCATAACAAACAAACAACAATGTAATTGTTTAAACTTTTCAACTACATTACACAGGTACAAACTTGATTTTCCTCTCATTGAAAATTTACAACAAACAATTCATTAAAAATTTAAATTTTTTTCTTACATGAGTTAGAGGTTAAAATAAAATCATAATAAATCATTTAAAATTTTTATTTCTTTGTTATAATAACATGTTATGTTTCTCTTTAACCATGATGATGATAATAATAATTTTCATTCAAACGTTATTAATGAATCGGTCAATAAAAAAGTTTTTTTTTTTTTTTTGTTTTGTGTGGTTGTAAATGGCTTTACTGACATTTTTTAATTACCATTTTTATTATTATTATTTTTAACTATATTTACGACGACTTTAACACAATTTATGCAATTGTCGGTTGGTATTAAAATATTTTAATGACGTTATCAATAAAAAACAAAGTAATTGTGTGATAATAATTTTCCAGTTTTTTTTTTTTTACTATTTTACTACTACTACTACTACTACCTACTACCTACGAATATATATTTCTAACGACAAACATAAAAATATATACGAATACTACATATATATTTTTTTTATTATTTAATAATTTATTATACATAAAATATTAATAATGTACGATTTTAATTAATTAAAGTTTTTTTTTTTTTTTTAAATGAATTAATTACAGTTTTTTTTTTTTTAAATTAATTATACGCGTCATCATAGTATGTGATAAATTTACGTTTTACAACGCGTTGCCGTATAAAAATTTTTTACAACCGTTTTTTTTTTTATTTCTTGCAATAAATTTACATACTAAATGATAATAACATTTATTAAAATTCAAAAATATAAATAATAATAATAATGATAACGATATTAATAATAATAATAATTAAAAATTTATTTAAAAAAAAAAAAAAATACGTTAAAAATACAACAATTGTTTTATTTGGGAAAATTACGCGCGAATTACAATTTTTATTTACCCTCCCCCCCGCCTTTTAGATTTGATGTGACGTCATTTCGTCGCCAAAAATTAAATGTGATTTATGTATTGAAACAAAAGTGTAACGGTTTTCGAATAAGAAAATGTTTTTTAAAAATGTTTGTTTGGGTAAAAATACAATTTATCGTAACAACAACAACAACAACAACAACCGGATATAAAACGAAAAAATATACAAACGATCAAATAATATTAATTACTTTATAAAAAAAAAAATTACGAAAAGGTAGTATATTAAAAAAAAAAAAAATGGCGTCAATTATTAATTTGAAATTTTTATTAAAAAACCGTTAAATTTTCATTATTATTATTATTATTTTTTTGGAAAGTTGAAGAAGAAATTATTGAATAGAATTTATTATATACAAACGCGACAAACATAAATTTATATATATATTTAATGTCATAAAAAAAAACAACAACAACCGCGTATATCCATTGTGAACGTGATTAATTTTCATCCGGATCTCTTATTTTTTTTAAACTGGAATTTGAAAAAGTTTCAAGTTTTTTTTTTTTTTTTTTTTTTTTAATTAATTAATGTCCCCCATTAAATGATTGTATATACGTTTACTCACGCGTGGTGGCTTTATACTTGAATTTTTTTTTCAATTAATATTATTATTATTATTATTATTATTATTATTATTATTATTATTATTATTATTATTATACTTTATACTATAATTTATACGATTTTTTTTTTTTTTTGCATCCCGGTTATGGGCAAAACAACCGATTTACACATTTTATATTATTACACTTATAACATATTTTTATGTAATCAATAATAAATATTTATAACTTTATTATTATTATCATTATTATTATTATTTTTAAAAAAAACGTCTGACAAAATGATATACTTATAAAATTTTTTTTTATATAAGTGCGTGTGTTCGTATAATAATTTCTCCCGGCATTTTATTTTATTTTTTTATATATTTAGTCAATTATATTTGTTCCATCATTAGTCGTCGTCGGCCATTTTCTCTCTCTTTCTCTCTCACTCTTTAGGCTAATAATATTTTTTGTGATTTACTGTCATAGTATAAACATAAAAAAAAATAAAAATGTCTTTTCTTATTTAAAAAAAAAATAAGAAGAAATTGTTATTGTTTGTGTTTGTATGTTTGTATCACCCACTGAGTCGTTTCTTTTTTTTTTTTTATTGCACATTTTTTTTTAAATAATAATTTATTTTTTTATTATTATTATTAACAATTAAATTATCGTAGATTTTATTTAACAACAACAAAAAACTAATTTTTTTTTTTAAACCGGAAATGTTTTTTATAAATAATAATTAAATGGCTCCCGGTTTTTTTGTTTTTTTTTTAATTTAAATTTATTTCCGAAAACAAACAATAAAAAAAAAAAAAAAAAATTGGAGAAATTTAAAACAATCGGTTGTTTTAATTATTATTAATATTTATCGTCCGCCATGTTAATTATTATTATTATTGATCTCGTTTTAAAAAATGGGGAGGAAAAATCGATCGATCGATAGATCGAAAGCATCGATACATTATCGATAAAAAATAAAAAAAAATCAATTTCGTTTACGATAAAAAAAAAAAACGCTAAATTGTTGTTGTTGTTATTATCATTATCATTATTATTATTATTATTAAATGACTTTTTGATTTTTTTCCCATTGTTTAGTTACTTTTATGACTTTTTTTTCATGTACGCGGCGGTCATAAACAATTGTAAAATGACAATGTTTTGATTTTTTCCTCTTTTTCTAACGTTCGATGATGAAAACTACGATAATGATGATGATGATGATGATAATAATAGAATAGATAGATATTTTCGAAAAAAGGAAAAAACGTTTGGAAATATTTTCGTATGGTAACATTAATAAAACAATGGATGTAATTTATTAAATGACATTCCCAAATGATATCTTTAAACTTTTTATAAAGTTTTTTCTAGAAAGGTCGATCGATTTGATTTCTTTTTCGTTTTGTCGTTCGTTATTTTTTTTTTTTATTTATAATTTTATAAATTTTCGAATTGGAAAAGTGAGAAAATTGATTTAAAGGGAAAAATATTTGTTCGATGGTGATAACGATGGTGATAAAAGAGAAAAATAAAATTTTTTTTTGTTCTTATCGATTTCCCAATATTATTAAATTATTGTTTTTTTTATCACGTGGGCAAACAAACAACTGATAATACAACTCCTCCACTCCCCTCACTTAAAATTTATTAAGAAAATTAAATACGAAGCTCTTCCTCCC